TAATAATAATAATAATAGTTTAAAAAAAATAAAAAAAAATAAAAAAATAAAATTAAGCCAACCATATTAACTACTTGGGGATCAAGACTATGTGGTCTAATGGTACTCTGGTTGGACTTTCATTTGGAAGGTTGTGAGTTCGAACCTTAGTGGAGGCGTTAAAAAGTATATGAACAGATACTACATTTTAATAGAGCCAAAAAAAAAAGAGTATTCAAATCACACAACAAATTGAAATGGAAAACTATCTCGCAATTACTTTATTGACAATTATAATCAATCTTGACTATATTATCTTGCATTTGTAAACTTAGATCAGAATTGCCTATTTAAATACGTAAATTTAACATTCAATTATTTATGCATGAACAATTCTGATAAGAATCTAAAAGTTTATAATTTTACCTTACATTTAAGCTTATTTTCCTTGTTATTTGTTATAATTTTGCTCAAAGTGTCATCATTTCATTCATTTGTGTGCTTATGAGTAATTCTTGATGATTTAGATGAATTGAGTGATTTTTGAGGCATTTCGGATGCATGTAGAGTCAATGGGTGCCAATGAGAAGCTATGAAGATGGGGGGAAACACCTTTTAGAGAGCCAAATTATGGTGTGTTTATTGGTCTTGGTCATTTGGACAAACAAAGGCAAAAGTGGAGAAAAATAGCAAGAAGTTGAAATTCCCGCACAAATCGTCTACTTCTCGGTATTTTGATCATATCTCTGCGTAGGATTGTCCAAATAAAGTGATCTGTATGTCATTGAAAAGTTAACTTGAAGGGATACAACTTTGATTCAAGCACCAAAGGTTAATTCAAATGTTTCGAAGGTGAAAAAGTGCCTAGAAGATGGACACAGTGCACATAAACTCTGCCTTATGGCCACGGGTGTGGCCAAGGGCGTGGCCAGACCCGTGGCCACTGGGCAGTGAGACTTCATTTCTATCCACGGGTGTGGCCAGCCCTCTGCACTTTTTGACAGCGCGTTTTTAACCCTTTTAAGGGGATTTTTCCACCCCAAAACATATCTTTTATTACATCTTTCATTTCCTTTTCATTTCTTAGTTAGGTTTAGCTCTAGTATAGCTTAGATTATTGTAGATTTCTTGTTCCTTTCCATTTCCAAGCTCAAGAACACATTGCAATCTTGGATTTCAAGACTTCAATAGAGAAGTTTTCTATTATCTCTTATCTTTACTTTTCATCTATGCTTTCAATTACTCCTTTAATATTGTGTATCTATTGTTATATTACTAGTATTTTGTCCCATGCGATGCACGGAAAATATGTTATAAAAATATATCCTATATGAGGTTTATTCATATATAAAATTTTTGTTATTTAATAATTATTATGTGTGAATTCCTGTGATAAAATTATGAACATAAATATATTTACAATTTAAATAATATTTAAGGTGGGTGATTACTACAAATCTTAAACTATATTTAAAATTTAGTACATAGTATTTAATATTACAAATTTTTAAGAACTTAGTAAACTACAATAGTAATTGAATTACAATTTTAGAGTCACGGATCAAAATTTTTAGACCTTTGAGATTTCTAACTCTAGATGTAGCAACGTACAATTGACCTTTAAAGACCAAAATCACAATCTTAGTTCGAACATTGATTTTTTCTTCCAAATACTATCGAATTAAGTGTGTAATCAATAAAAGATGAGAACTAATAATTCGAGAATATAATCTTAATGTTACTAAGCCTACTTCATATCAATTAAGTTGGAGAGTGTTGTTGGATAGTATCCGATGAATCCACAAATAACGCATCTTTGTCTCCGTAGTCCTCAATATGCACATCAACAATGTTAAATATTAGGCCGCCTAGCTATACCATATATTAATTTCAAACTTATGAACTTTGGGGTTGCATGAAATAAAAAGTATATTTTAAATTACTAAGGGTACCTTATATATGTATGTAAGGTACTTTCAATATAAAAATAATGTATTTTTAATATATTAAAAATGTATTTGATATTCATGATCCCTACAATTACGTGGACCATCGTTCACACAATAATTTGCTAGTAGAAATTGAAATATAAATAAACAAATAAATAAATAAATATAAATAAATAAATAAATAAATAAATAAATAAATATATATATATATATATATATATATATATATATATATATATATATATATATATATATATTAGAAACTGTCAGTGGAAATTATTATCATTATTATTATTATTATTATTATTATTATTATTATTATTGTTATTGTTATTATAATTAACAATATTATTATGGTCTTGTGAAAATTAAATGTTGATGATCACCATTTAATTTTCACAAGACCATATGGCTTTATTATATATAGGATAGGATGAGTAGCTAAGTGTTTTGGGACTAGGATTTGGTTTGATTTCTTGCTATTGATGCCTATTTGAGTTGTATTGCATAAAGGGGATTATTTGGGTGATCTAGGGTTGTTGTGTGAAATGGGTTTGTTGAGAAATTTGTGTATGATTGTTAGATCCCAATTATATGCTTGATTTGGAGTGTGTTTGTTGCTACGAGAGTATAGCTTGTACACTAGCCACACATTCACACACTTAATGCCCAATACGAGAGTATTTCGGGTGTTAAGGAGAATTTTTGCCTTGTGTTCTTGCTTGGGCAACCTTGGGTTGAATTGCCACGAGAGTGGAGTTTAAGGTGAGGTTGCAAGTCCAAATAGCTACGAGAGTGGTATTTGGACACTTTTGTGCATCTCACTACTTGCCCTATGCCTTGTTTTAATTCCCTAATCCTTAGTAGAATATTTGGCATCTTAGCTTGAATCAACCAAATCCCGGTCCTTTGTTTTACTTGTCCTATTTGTTATTAGCTTGTTCGTATCAAACCATCTCCTTATCGATAGGTCTAGCTTCTAAAAGAATAGTTCTAGCTTGTGCTTAACTCCACTTTGCATCAATTCCTAACATTACAAGAGCCATCTCCAGTGGAACGATATCTAAACTCTATACTGTGATTTGATACTTGATGGATGCGTGAAAACCGTCCTCATCAAATTCCAATATAATCTTGTCTTGATATACTTTAAAGTACTTATTTTAAAAAAAAAACATTAGGCATTATCACAATCGCGCAATGCGCGGTAAAAACTAGTATATATATATATATATATATATATATATATATATATATATATATATATATATATATATATATATATAGATCGTGAAATTCGATCCTGATCATTCTTTAAAAAAAATATTTAACAGTTCAGATTTGAGGAGTTTCTTTATTATTTACCGATGTAATTTAATAGGTTTAGGGGCTGTGAAATAATTTCGTACAATAATTAATTCATTACTAATTTGAATAAGAGATATTCTTGGTAATTTCTTTGAGCATTTAGTCTTCAGCGATATGAGAGTCACACACCTCACATTCCAGCGCCGTTTCTCCTTTCGTCGTCGCTCTCTGTGCGTTCGGTCTTCAGCCGTCACTCCCCATCGCGTTGGTCTTTATAATCGCGGGTTCTCCATGGCTGGCTTCATCGTCAAAAATTGAAATTCATCGTCTTCTTCGCAGAGATGCCGAACGCTGAGAGGTGAGTTTTCTTCTTTATTCTTTAATCCTACATTCCTACTGTTGGGTTAGGGAGGCGACGGAGGGCAGGGGCTGTGGCGAAGGGCTGCGACCTCCAACTAAAGCTGCGGTGGAGGGCCCTGGCTTCCTTTATTCCTCTTTTCATTTTGGATTTTCAGAAAATTGATTCTATTTGTAGCTTGGATTAGTTCGATTTTACCATACTAATATGTATATTTTAATTTTATATATACCACTCTTGAGTATTTGTTTTGTTTTATTTTTTCTGGAAATTTGTGTTTAAAATTATTTTTCCTACAAAATGCTAAGCTTACTAGCCATATCAATTTTGAGTGAATCTATATTAGAATTATGTTTGTGATTGAATTAACAAAAGCATAGAGTGTGTGCGTCATAGTGGCGGAGTGTGTGCGTTACATTTATCAGTTGCTTAATTTTATTTGGGTTTTCATTTTTGGTGTTGTGCATTACGGTAAATGCAAGTTAGCAAAGAGGTATGTGCGTTTCAAATTATGAGTTTGTGCTTCCGGTGTGGTTGCATATTTTAGTGTGTGCGTTAGAGGGGTTGCCAATGTGCGGGCACTTATGTTTTTTAAAATTTTTTTGTTATTGTGATGTAATGTAAATATTAATAGGGTGTTGGGTGTGCGTCATAGTGCGGAGTGTGTGCATGAATGTAAATTTCAGAGTTATTGTCTTAGAGAGTCAGGGTTTATATTAAGGGTATGAGCAAATATTTGTAGTATGCTAGTTACTCCAGTCAAGTGCAATAAATAATACAGACTTTTTCACTATAGCCTATTGTTACTTTGTGTTTCTTGTTATGTTCGTTTATTTAAGTTGTTCTTTGGACTATTACAGCGTAATGCACACACTAAACTCCGTGCATGCAAACACAGGTTCATTCCATTCCTTTGCCTTGTGAAATGCACGCTCTCGTATACGCTCATGCACACACTTGCGAACAATACGCGCACACTTACCCCCATGTACATGCCCAACAATAGCCATGCACACATCACCGTTAATAAATAATTTCGGTAACACAAAAAAACCCCAAAGCAAGGTACTTTTATAATTTTCTCTTTCAAAAATAAAAACAACATCATGAATGCACACACACACATTTGATTAGAGTTTCTGTAACAATTTTAAGCCAAAAAAATAGTTGCTTGACCATTATATTATAATACGCACACGCCTTACCACCACTACGCACACACTACCCTCAAGATTACACGCCCTGCATTCTTTTATTAATATTTAACATTAAAAAAAACAGTGGATGATTAATGCTCACTCTAACTACCAATTATTTTTAAACTAAAACAAAAAGTAAAAAAAAAACAAATAAAATAACACCATCATGCACACGTTGTTGCACATCTACGCACACACCAAAGTAACTTACAACTCTGGAACACAAAAAAACAAAGCGATAGTACTGTTACAATCTTTATTCTTTAAATAGGAAACTAAAATTATGAAATCACGCACACAACAAACACTAATTTCATTCTCAAAAAACAAACACTAATTTCGATTAAAAAAACACATCAGTAGTTGCACCCGTGCGTTGCACGACCATGATATTATGATGCAATATATAAAAGATTTTTATATTGAAGATATAGTAGCAATAAGGTTATAGACGTAATAAATAGACAAAATATAATTTATTGAGGTTCCATAAAGAAAACAATTACACATTATTAAAGATTTTTTTATAAACTACATTTTGAGTCTTGTTTAAAAGTCCTCTCTAGATTCCCCACAAATTAAGATCGTCAGGATTACTCACCCTAGAAACTGCTACATATAATTGGTTATGATTAAAAACTATTTTTTCAGTAACAAACCAACATGTGAAAGTGTTTGACATTGAATTTTGTTGATTGTCATTGCATATGACAACATAAGTGGAAACTACTTTCTTTGAAATTTAAATGGAAGTCTTGGGTCTGAAGGAGTCAAAGATAGTCTTGGTATCAACACCTTTGTACCTGCGTTGTTGCCACATAGGATTTGTGCCTCAATAACATGATTTCCCAACTGAGTTACTATTAACCTTGTACCATTGCATAATCCCAATGAGCGATCTATATTTCTCAACAGCATAACTGGAGTTCCAACTTTCAAAGTTAAACAGTGGTTTGGTACCCCTGAGCATCTCAAACTATTTAAAAATTCTGTTGTTTGGACCTCAGATTGCATATCAACATTTGTCTCCGACTTGCAAACAGAATCACAACTCATATATGTTATGGATGAGGCTTGATTCATACCGTTCATGTATTCATTGACCTTGTCGACAACATCTAATGTTGGAGCCAGAATAGCTCTACTATCGAGTTGTCTTTCATCCATGTTTCCAGAACGGTATTCAGGGAATGTGTTGTCAACAATTTGTCTAATGGGATCGCCCTCATTTTCCAATACAAAGGAAGACGGTATCATTATATTGCAATCAACACCATTGTCTTCACCCAGTTTTCCATCACCTAAATCTGCAATCCACTTGGCAAAACCATCTAATTTCTCAACCTCCTTTTCATTAGTAACACCTCGCAATCTTAAATTCTTCGTTAAACGAAGAACTTCACAATTATTCCACAAGTAAGAAGAATTAATACTGGCTTATACTATATCCTGTAGAGTACCTTTTGGAATAACGGGTAGAATTTGTCTAAAGTCTCCCCCCAGAACAATTGTTTTCCCTCCAAAGTTCATTGTTGAGCTCCTAGAATTTCTGAAACGCATTAAATCTCTCATTGTTCGGTCCAATGCTTCAAAACAATGTTTGTGCACCATAGGAGCTTCATCCCAAATTATTAGTTTGGATTTGATTATCAATTCAGCTAGTGGACTGCATTACTTAATGTTGCAAGTGGAATCTTCATTAATAGAAATTGGTATAGCAAACCTGGAGTGTGCAGTCCTTCCACCAGGTAAAAGTAATGAAGATATACCGCTTGATGCTACATTTAATACGACTTCACCTTTGGACCTTAAAGTCGCTAAAAGTGTCTTCCACAAAAAAGTTTTCCCTATTCCACCATAACCGTAAACGAAGTACATGCCACCTTTCTCCGTTTCGACGTCTGCAATCACCTTATTGTAGATGACTAACTGTTCATCAGTTAGTTTCTCAAGCAAAGAATTATGTTCATGCATTAGAGCTTCCCTATCATATGATATTTCCTCGAACAACAACCTATTTCCCAAAAACAAATCATTGTTTTCATCTGGCATTGGCATAGGTGGATAATCTGCTAGAGATTTGTTCCAAGCATTCAACAACTTCTCCATTTCAAGCAACGCATAATTCCTTTTTTGAGATTCATTGAGAATTAAATCTACAAAATGAGAAAACAAATCTTTTAAGATCATATATAATTATTACCTGAAGTTGAGAGGTTTCTTCTAGAAATAAATTCAGCATCATCTGATAAGTAATTCCAAACTAGCTCCCACACATTTTCTGGCTTAGACATTGAATTGGATGTCAATAGTGTAACAAACAATTCCCTTAACGAATGTGCTGAAGACCAAACTACTGCCTCATTGATTGCATTGACATACTCTTTATCATCTTCAATTAAGCTCCGTGCATAAAATGCATCTTTAAATGAATTGTATTGGACGGGCCATCAACTTTTTAAATATCATCAAATGAAGTCAGTCCACGAACTATGTTAAGTAAACATCTAAGATAAAAGATTTCACCACTATTTGGGGGCACATAAAAGATTCGACCAATTGCCCAATCCCTTTGCATAGGATGCCATTCTCTTTTATCATTCTTCCAAACAAATTTAGTTGGCATCTGTGAATAAGTCAACTGTCTCCCTTCTGCGTATTTTTTATTCGCCTCAAACCATGCAGTGAACATGCTTTGAGCTACTGTTGGTTGATTTACGACATCATCAACCAAATCGTCATCATGAAATATTACTGAATGCTCATTTGGAAGATGGAAACTCAATCGCTCAACACATGGATTTCTAAATTGTATGTCAAATGCAAATATCCTCCAAGCAGCCTCACACGGTGAAATATATCTACAGTCATAGTACATCTTGATTTCATCTATAACCTTTCCAGTAGATTCTTCTACCGCACTGTTGTAAAATTCAGCTGTGACCCTGTCATTACCCTTGTTGACATACTTGAATAAGTACTTTATTGATTTAGATTGGTTGCACCACTCCACATTAATATGAGCCTAGTACTTCATCAGCGAATGTCTATTGTGTGGAACAACATATCTACTATCAAGGTTAATTCCATTTTTCTGTATTGTACGACCATTATCTCTACGCCGATAGATCGGATATCCATCAAAATCCACTGTGGAGTTTAGAACATTTACCATTGACCATGCAAGGTGAATTCTTCCTCGCTGCACCACATAGACCATGAATCATAAATTCTTCCACAGCTTTATAATACCCAGGGTCGCACAATTGACTTGGAATCTCAACAGATATGATCATATCAATGTCTTTTGGATTAGGATAAGAGTTATTCTTGCTCAAGAATATCAAAATGTGAGCATGTGGCAATCCCCTTTTTTGAAATTCAATTGTGTAAATTACTGCAAATTGAAACATAGGAAAATCAGACTAAAAATGTGATTATTATTGTTAAGATATTTAAAAAAAAATATTTAGAAAATACAACAAAGTACCTGCATCAACAACTCCAAAAATTTTCTCTTTCTGAATCTCTTTTATGAGTGCATTTAATTTCATTTTAAACACACGGCATATTATATCCGGCCTATCTTCAGCTTTGAGTTTCCTTGGTTGTAAAAACCTTTCAATCTCAAGCCACTTGGGATTACATGTGAATGTAATAAATAGACTTTGATAACCAATCCATCTACAAATCACCATTTCATCTTGATAATTTTGCACCATATATCTTGCACCTCCGGTAAAACTCGATGGAAAAATGATACGCTTTCCTTAGGCTGTAGGATCTACTTCACCATGTGTTAACGCATCTGTCAAACATTTATATGATTCACATCGAAGTGACTTTTGATGAATCCTAATATAAACCAAGCGTCCTGATTCTATCATGGTATAAGCATCTACCAAATATTGCTGAAACAACCTTCTAGAATAAAGCAATGTTGAGATTTCATTGAACCTATCTTGCAAACTGAATGAAAAATACTCCCTTGGACTAAGTTTACTCCCTGCATTTGAACTCCGACCTTCCACATTACTAAACTTTACTTTATGTCGTCTCTGTAATCGTCTTCACCATAAGGAAAAAGCAATGGGTATTGAAGTGGGAGATATGCTTGATTTAATTCAGTTATTCTTTGAAAATGACCAGCTTTAGATTCCACCAAAATATCTCGTTCCCCATATTTGGATCTAAATCACCAACAATCAAAGCAGCCACTTCTCCAACCTGTGGCAAGTTATATGTCTTTGCATCTTTGTTCCTCCTACCGATGAGTTTGATTTTAATTTTTGTTCTAGGATTACTTTCCATCTCCATTTTGGCAATCCGAAAACTCTTGACCAAAACCTTATTTTCATCTAATGCATCCGTAATGTCTTTAACAATTTCATAATGCAATGTAGTCGTTGAATCATCTTCCCTGTTTTTATTAGACAAAACGAACAAATTTAGAATAAATTTTGTTAGTACAAAATCATGCTCATTTAAAGTAATTTAAAAAATGTCCATAACTTACCCAAGTTCACTTAGACGATTGTTGATCTCATTCTGAGTGTAATAAATATATAATTGAGAAAACTTTGGTCTCTCGCCAGATTCTGGTAGCAAACTCACCATCAAGTGAAAATTTTGACCATGCAGTCTAAATGTTGGTGGTGCACTACCATTGTTGATTGTTTTGTCAATTTTTCCACCCATGGAAGTAAAACAAAACATATTGTTAAATGACCGGATGTTCTTCAAGAAATGTGTACTCTTTTGATCTTGGTTAAAGAACAACTACCTAATTGCAAGAGGTGGACTATTTGTAGGTGACAACTTGATCTTTCTATGACTGCAACATAGTGAATATTTGGAATTTCGAACACCGCTAGATTTATTAACTCGCCCCTCTAACCAAAACATAGCTCCACGGTGCTGACATGTATACATCTGATCACCAATATCACTGTAATAATCTACACAAAAAAATTATATATGTTATTATTAATCTCAAATAAGCAAGATTATTAATCGTACCTATACCCACCAGTAGCAATTGTAGAGTTTGATGGAGTATCATGGACCATCAAAATCTCCCATCAAACCACGTTGCATTGACATAATTGGTGATGAGCCGCTGTGATCCACAACACACGACTGTGTTATATTAACTAGAAGATCAAAGTAAATTTTAATATTCATTTAAAAAAAAGTATATGAATTCCTATTTTAATAAATAATTAACTTCTTTACTAAAAGTTACCATTTGTCAAATTTGCTAAAGGCCTTCGCCTTTCGTTGGACTCCATACGTGTAATTTCAAAAATGGTAGATCAGGATGTACTTGATTGAATATTATTTTGGGAAACTATTAACAAAATTAAAAGAAAAAAAGTTATTATAATAGCGAAACTAATAGCTAAACTAAATACTAAAATAAATTTGATAAAAGTGTGTGGGTGTGTCTATATATATATATATATATATATATATATATATATATATATATATATATATATAATTGCTCATACCATTGCTAAAGTTGAAAGTTTGACCCGAAAAACCAATACGATGTCCTTGAAATACATGCCTCTTATTTTGAGTTGTTGAATTAATGCATGTAAGCTGAGATCTATCACTTGTAGATTGTACTGAGATTGAACACTCTACAAACAAGAATGATTTGCAATAATTTTACATTCATATATTTAATTGTTCATAGTAATTTAAATAACCCATAATTTTATTATTATTATAATATAAATACAATAAATACAATTTACTCTACCATACATGGATGAAATTTGTACACGTAAAATAAAAAAAGAAAAATTTACATGTGAAATTAATAGTACTGACATTGCAATTAGAGATGAAAGAAATTACCAGGAAACACATGCACTTTGGACGTGTTGAATGTTCTATTTTTCGTAGATTCATTTTCTTTCATAAAAGCAATAAAATAATGAATTACTGATGTAATTATTGAAGTAGACTATATTAATTCAATTGTTACAGTAAACAAATTTACACAAAATATAAACCATATATATGTAACTACCACAATTTAGATCTTACTATAACAATTTAAATACTGTACCACTATATATATATATATATATATATATATATATATATATATATATATATATATATATATATATATATAGGCAAGATCAAGTGCGGCTGTACACTAAGGTGAGGCGCTGAGGTCATTTTCCATCCGTTGATCAAGTCCAATCCAACGCACTATAGAGGCAAGATCAAGTGCGGCTGTACACTAAGGTGAGGCGGTGAGGTCATTTTCCATCCGTTGATCAAGTCCAATCCAACGCACCATAATTGAGATGATTTCGCGCTTCACTTAAAGATCACCGCGACATAGAGGGCAAAATTGTCCATTCGTTCAATTCAAACTGATCAGTTCTCCACTTCTGCAAGTAAACACCCCGTCCCATCTCTATTCACAATCCCGAAGTCGCGAACCCTCTCCAACTTGCTCTTGCTCCGGCGACGAATGCGAGGCGAACCACTGCAACGACGAGAAACTTCAACGACGAACAGCGAGGAGACTATAGCCGAACACACCACCGCGTTCTAAGAGGGACACGAACCGTCTTCTACAACACTGATTCGCTACAAAACACACAAATGGTGAACAAAGGCAAGCAACGAGCATGCAATGGTATATTTCGTTTATTATTAGTGTATTCTGTAATATTTAACTTCAATGTGTCAAATAGCATGTTAACCCTACCATCGCTGTATTCTTTTGAACATTTCAGACTAGGGCATCGCATTGCATGTTATTTGTGCATTATAAACATTAATGTAGTGTATATTTCGTTTATTTATGGTGTTTTCTGGTATTTGTGACATGAATATTGGTGAAAAACTGTTGGGTGTTTAATTTTTGTACACAGTGCATATTTATCCTACCGTTGGTGTATTTCATATTATGAATTTGTTGTATCTCGTTACGTGTTGTATGTCTATGATAAGCATTACTGTGGTGTATATTTCGTTTATGATTGGTGTTTTCTGAAACTCGAATACTTGTGAAAGATTTGTTGTGAGTTTATTTGTTGTACACTGTGCATATTTATCCTACAGTCGGTGTATTTTTGAGCATTACAGGATGGGGATTTCATTACGAGTTGTTTGTTTTATGGTGAATATCAATGTAGTGTATATACCATTTATTATTGGTGATTTCTGGGATTTGGAACTTGAATGTTGGTGAAGAGTGTTGTGGTGTGTTTAATTTTTATGCATGGTGTATTTTTGTCCTATCATCTGTGTATTTCAGACAACAAGAGAAAGGCATTAGACCAAGGACACTCGTCAAAGCCACGGAGGCATAGAAAACAAGAAGCAATGACATTCCTTGACAGAATAGAAGATGAAACAGAGATAGATGAGGAAGTGCATGAACAAGAAGTTGATGACAGCTCAAATGATGAAATAGATACATTGGAGCAAGAGAATGAAGATACTGACCTAAAGATAAGGCCACTGCCAACACAGCTAACAAAACCCATTAAAGACCTAACCAAACAACAACGCCAGAGTATACAAGACATTGGGCTGGGAAGGATTCTTGACCTCAAAATCACAAACCTTCCAAGGAAACTGGGGATGTGGCTGGTTGAAAACTATGATGCAAGGAGCAACACATTGAATCTGCAAAATGGCCAAAAACTACAAATCACAGAAGAAGATGTTGCTGTGACATTGGGACTGCCGCTTGGAGACATAGAAATCACAAAGAGGGAAAGTAAAGCAGTATCTAATCTCCTGGCAGACTGGAGAAAAATCTTTGGAAGGGCTGACGACCACATCACCCCACGCAAGATGGCTAAAAAAATGTTGACATTGAGAGCTGCTGACCCATGGTTCAAACGGCATTTTGCACAGCATTGATCAGGCTGAAGAAAATGAGGAAGTAGAGCTGAATATGAATGAGGGTGAAGAAGCATCTGAAGGACAACAAGATGGACAGAGTGCTGAACCAGATGCACCTGCTGATAACAATGATGAGGTAATGCACTGTATTAAATTGCGACGTGACAAAAAGAAAAAAAAAATTAAAATCTAAATGTTACAGGTCACACCGGCAGAGCAAATTCAAGAGGGTCCTGCTTCAGATCCACCACCCCCACCCCAACCATTGGACAAAGGAAAGAGACCAGCTAGAGGGAACAGCCCAATCAGACCTAAGGCCTGAATATATGCAACTGATCTGGAAGCCCCAATAACTTCAACAGAGGAATCGATCAGACAATGGGTATTAGAAAACCCTAACCCAGAACTGTAAGCACAACACATTCTACTTGGTGTATTTCTAAGATATATTTGGTGCATTTTATAATAATATTGGTGTATAATAATCATATGTTAGCTAGTGCATTATTTGATAACTATTGGTGTGTTTATATGGTTGTCTGTGTTGACACATCAGGTGGTCATATTAGTTTGCTTAGGTTTTGTGTGATACTCAATAGTTATTAGTGTATATCTCTATATATATTGGTGTATTCTCTTTAAATGAAATATTAACTTCTAATGGTGTGTTACTGCTATAACTTCGGTGTATGATTTAATAATGATGTATTAATATTTTTGTTGCTTATACAATACATTATTACCAGTGAGCAGGAACTATTCAGGTATGAAGGACGGGTAATCTACTGGAGAGATATGCTGTTAATGGCGCCAGATACTGAGATTCCAGTATCTATAGTTGATGCTTGGGCAGCCATACTAAACATTCGTGAAGGAGAGAGAGGGTCTACAAGATTCGTTGCTTCAACCTGGACAAGTGTAAGCAAATAATATGAAAGTAACTACACCTGTAAAACCCCTACAAATCTAACAACTACATCATTGAACTTTGCAGCTGTACACAGTTGTGAACCCGCAGTGGGATGAAAAATTAAGATTTGAAAGATTCAAAGAAAAGTATCTGCAAGACAAGGCGATTGCTATGGACATTGTGTGGCACAAAGTTGTATACGTAAGTGGTGCATTTGTCTAATTGTGGTGGATTATTACTCATATAGTGGTGTATATTATGACACACGTGGTGTGTTTTTTGTTATGACAGTTTCTGTTTCCCATAGTGGCATCCAACCACTACTACTTGCTGTCTATTAGCCCACTAATGGAAAAGTTTGACATCATTGACAACTCTTCAGCACCTGTGAAGAAACAGGACAAATACGGATATGTGCTTGACAATCTGGTAACCCACTAAACACTACCTGGTTATATATATTTAATACACAACGACACAAAAAACTAATATTGGTGTATGCTTCCTTGATGCAGCAAAAATTCTTTTCAAATATGTTGATCGAACAGAAAACCGCATACAAAGGTGAAAAGGTAAAGAAGCTGAAATCCAAGATAACGAAGATGCCTTGGAGAGATGCGCATAACAAAAAGGATTGTGGCATCTTTTTAATGCGGCATATGGAAACCTTCCGTGGACAGTCAGCTGAAGAATGGGATTGTGGATTGCAGAAAAATAACAAAGAACAATTGAACAAGTTACGAGTGAGGTACTTGGCTGCCTTGATCACCTCAGATGTGAATGAACTGAGAGAAGTAAACATACAGAAGGCAGCAGAGTTTGGTGTTTAGGAAGACTTTCAATCATGTAAATGTTTTTTTCTGATGGCATGGCATAGACCATATGACTACTAGACAAACAATTTTTTGTGATGGGTACTTGTGAATGGCTTACCCATTTGCATTGCTATATAATGCAGTATTATTATGCATACACTTCATTTTATAAAAGGACACCTCAAAAACACCATTATAACAAATAGCATGCACCATTCCACTTTTTACTTGCAAAATACACCAACATGTGAAATAAAATGCACCACACAATATATTACAGCCAACATAAGTCTGTATATAAAAATGCACCACAAAACGGAATAAAACACACCAGTCTAATATGAAAAACATCCGACATTCTTAAATGCACCACACCGTTTATTAAAAACACCAAGTACTGTAATAAAATGCATAACTGTCTGTTATAAGAATTGTACGCAACTGTGAAAACATATATGTCCCAAATCAAACTACACAACTGTATCTAACCATTTAAAGGGCATGTCCTACTATTATGACCATATTCATCACAAGTATGGCATTTCCTTGATTGCTTTACACACTTGCTAGCAGCTTTCTCCCTTGTACTCTTCAACCGCTTACCGCTACCCTTGTTCTTAGCTTGAATGGGATCACGCACCTCCACTGTTGAACCCTGAGACACATCTCCACAAAATGAATTGATCACACTTTGTTTGCTGCCACCAGCCACCACCCCACTGCTATCCTCACTCCCCTCTTGGAGAAATAATTGCCTTTGCTCACAAATAACACGTCGTAGCTGTGACAAACGTTCTATATTACCATCGGCCAAGCCCACGCAAGCATATATGTCAGACCACAATAGATTAGTAAAAATCCTAACATTCTCCACTTTAGAAGATCGATCAACAATTGTATCATCAATATTGGCTTCAAACAAGCACCCTTTGTCCACCGAGACACCACATACCTAGAAGGGATACTCTCAAGCCCACGATCTTTAAACACAAAAAAAATATGCCTACACAACAACCCCGTCCGCTCAAACATCTTGCAAGAACATGTAGCAATATAATCAGACAAGACTAGCTCCACATACCATGCCCGTTGGGCACCATCTTTTATCCCATATGACACATGGCCATCACAATCACACAAAGACACCACTTGACATGAATAACAAGCTGCACAAATCTCTACTTGAACATCATAAAATACAGAAATGGTGTAAACATCCATTGCATGCTTCTCCAAAGCCAATGGTGTCTTCAAAACAGGAAAACAAGATTCACAATCAGCATTCAATTTTGCTTGTGCATGACGCTGCACACCAACAACACTTCCAAAATGCACCAAGAACTCAACCAAACTAGAATGACCATTAGAGAACGTACCGAAAAAACTATTTTGAGACTCTGATCGAGACGTTGTCCTAACCAGTCCTGACATAAACTCGTCGTGAAAATATGGGGATGCCCAATATGTACGAGACTCGAACAAGTAACGAAACCAACCATTGTCACCCAAACCATATTCCTCCATGATACAACTCCATGCCTCCTCAAATGACTTGGAGTCCAGTGATTTGTTCCAGACAATGCCATTCAACTTCCTCCTAAACACTTCATCTTTAGATAGAATTGGTCCAACCTTCTCACCAACCTTACACATTATATGCCACATGCAAAATTTATGTTTTGATGTACCAAACACGCGAGCAACAGCAACCTTGAGAGCTGGATCTTGATTAGTAACAACACATATAGGATCATGACACATAGTTTTCTTAAATTTCTCCAAAAGCCACACATATGATTCTACATCTTCCCTCGTAAGCAAACCAGCACCGAAGGTGATGGATCTCTTATGGTTATCAATTCCAGTAAATGGAACAAACACCAACTTATACCTACAACACAACAAGCAATCAACACCGTACTTCTAAGAACACACACCATAAGGTATGTAATAATGCACCACATACAAATACAACATGCACAATAGAAATAAATACTAACCTGTTAGTACGGTATGTAGCATCAAAAGAAACAACATCACCAAACAACGCAAAATTCTTCCTAGATACTGCATCCACCCAAAAAATCCTTGAAAGCTGATCAACTTCATCAACATCATATTCAAAATCAAATGCCTCACACAACTCACGTCTCTTGAATAGCGTGTCTATGAATAATTGAGCATCACCATTTAGAATGTACGCCATCAGGTCACGCTTGAAATTCTTAAAATCCACACCTGTAGCCCCGACACTGGAATACTCACCAACAATCTCTTTAAACAGCCTATATGACCGAACAGACCCAATATTTGCCCGAACACAACTAGCAATAAACATTTGGTGCCCAGCATCGAGACTACGATTCACCTTTAAAAATTGCCTAGCAATAATTGAACACATCGAATGGGTGTGACGTTCCTCAAAATAATGCACAACATATAACCCATTAGACTTACGCTTTATCACAATCTTAGCCTTACAACCAACCCTATTTGTCACCCTCCGTCTCTTCGCCAAAGTAGTTTTAGCAACCCTAGAAACCCTCTGCTTAAAACCCTGACGGTTACATTCTACGTGCTTCTCCACAGCAACACCATCCCTATCTTTCCGAATTGAGTGCTGCCTACAATCAAACCCAACAGTCCCAGCATATTGTTTATAAAACACAACAGCACCATCCAAGGAAACAAATTGTTGCCCCACAATAGGCTTCACACTATCAGCACAAACTGGGCGCCAATACTTCGTCAGCCCAGGAGAAGTTTCCAACACACATACACTGCCTTGTACACCCACATCAGCCAAATAATCTTCATCGCAACCCACACCACTGCCTGCTACTCCAACATCAGTCACATTACCATCATCGCAACCATCGCCATTGCATTCTACACCAACATCAGTGGGATTACCTTCATCACAAACACCACCACTGCCTTCTCCACAAACATCAGTTGAGTTATCACAAACACCACCACTGCCTTCTCCACAAACACCACCAGATTGCAAAACATCAGCTGCACACCACATGTTAACTAATAAAGCACCACACCTTATCCAATACCACACGAATAACCCTACCTACATGCACATTATACATGCATAAAATCTAATACTGCCATACACATCATCAAATAATATATGCACCACGAGTATACAAAAAGTAAACCGTAATCACAAAACAACACACAACAACATAGTCAACATCGATACACAGCAAATCCATAAAAAAAAGCATGCGATAAACTTCCAAATCATAACAGGCACATAGTAATACAAAAGACAAATTAAAACTACAAACATGAGAAATTCAAAACATACCAGGCTCCATCGCTCAACCTCAATAATCTCCCAACTGCGATAATCTGTAATTGCAAACGCAACTGATATCTCGTCCAACTTCCGATTGTGATCTCCAGCGATAATCTCCGAATTCCAATTGGGACGCAATCACGAACACGATCGCGATCTTGATCTTCTTCCAATTACGACGCGATCACGAACGATGTCTTGATCTCTCTTTCCTTCCGTGTTTAAAATCACACAAAATCCGTCTTTTATACATTCACGTCCATATCCCATTAAATTACTAAAACGCCCCCGCTTACCAAAAACGCGAAAGACTTTACTTAATTCAACTAATATATCACTGCCGTTAGATTAGCTTCGATCAACGGCTGTAAACTGACCTCACCGCCTCACCTAAGGCCGTGACCGCATATGAGCGTCTACATATATATATATATATATATATATATATATATATATATATATATATATATATATATATATATATATATATATATATATATATATATATATATATATATATATATATATGGAAAATTGTAATTTATGCCCCTCCATAATATGTCAATTATCAATGTCACCCCTAAATTATTAGTGGTGTAAATTTTGCCCCTCAATTTTTAAAACAGTAGATATATTGCCCATCTCGTACCATACGAGAGTGGCAATATATGTACCATTTTGAAAATTGAGGGGAAATATTTAAACTTTGGAGGGGCAATATATGTATCGTTTGGAAATTTGAGGGGCAACATTTACACCACTAATAATTCAGGGGTGACATTGATAATTGGCATATTATGGAGGGGCATAAATTACAATTTTCCGATATATATATATATATATATATATATATATATATATATATATATATATATATGTATGTATGTATGTATATAAAGCATATTATATATAAGCATATAAATATAATATGTTTATATATATTTAATAATATAAATATCTATTTATCTATTTATCTATTTTTAACTAAATATAATAAAATAATAAAATAAAAAGAAAAAAATATAGAGCTGTCCAGAAGCTAGGCTTCTGGACATTTCTGATCATCTCTCTATCTCTCTACGCTCCATTATCTCTCTACGCTTTCTATCTCTCTCTGTACTGCACACTGTTTAAGCAGTGATGCCGGCTAATTTTGCTAAGATGTTTCTATATTCAACTCATTCTTGTGTAGATCACAGTCTATATTTTGTTCCAAAGCGAGAGAGAGAGATAGAAGAGGACGAATTTAGGGTAACCCTAAATTTGTTTCAGATATCCAACCCTAATTTTTTACAGCCCCGGCGAGTGTAATGCTTCGTTGCTTCTAAGCTTGCAACCTAGATAAACGTTGATCCGCAGTTTAGAGCTATGGATGTACGTTAGCCGGTGCTAGTTTCCAATCGTGTTTAGATTTAGCTGGTTTATTGTTAGAAATTGTGATGGATCTCACATCATCTGCAATCGGAGGAAAGTAAGGTATTTTCTTACTCATTTTTAGTGAATTTGTTATGGTTTTCCCCCAAATATTTAGCTGGAAATTGGTTTAAAATTCGAATTAGGTATACTAAATTTTATGTCTGTAAAGTTAGGGTTTTAACGTAGTACTTTAGCAACATAGGGTTATCTGTCGAACTTGAATCGTATACTTAGGGTTTCTTATGTTTAGTTTTCTTAAAATTACAAAGAAATCTGAGTTTTGAAATTAGATTATTCGTATGCTTATACTAATCCTACTATAAGACACTAAAATCTGTTATCTAATTTGAACTTAACAGGTTCTAATTACAGGAGGAAGATGTTGGCAAGAAAGTAAAAATTCAATATCAAGAGGATAAGTAAACATATGGCCTACAAATACAATGGCAGTAATAGAGGATTGACAAAATATTTAAAGTACCTTTATTTGATATTGTTTCCTTCCTTTTTGAGTCGATGACCGTTGATGAAGTTAACTTCCTCATTGAGTTAGACTCACTAATGTTTGGAAAGTGTTTTTGTGTAAATGATGAGTTTAGTTGAATAGCAATTTTGTACTGTGTTTTTAAATGTGAATCTGTGAGTGTAAAAGTTAAAAGTAAAATTAAAATGCATTGAAATTTGCTGAAATTTATTAATGATTACTGCTATTGGGAAGCATAAAAGGCCTAGTGATAGTATTTGTCCTTTGTACTTCAAAACTAACATGTTTTTTTTTCCAGGAAATGTCATATGATGATATTTAATTCTGATTTCAATAACCAAACATTAGATGTGTAGTTTGTGGTAATCTTGAATTATTACAGAACAACTCTAGTGAATACATCACTGTAATTTTTGGGTTACTGTTTTTTTTTTGGTAATTTTGTTGATTTTTTTTTTGTTTACTAAAATTGTAACAATTTTTTTTTCAAGGAAATGGCATATGATGATATTAATTTCTGATACCATTAAACATAAGATTTTGAACCTGTATTTGGTTAATACAACTGAGACAGGATGAGTACTGTATGCACAAGTTTAAAATTAGGTGATTTCTTTTATTTGTTTATCTTACCTTTTGAATATAAAAAATGTTTTTTATTGCTTTCTAAAGATTTGAAAAATCATTATATGCAGAAGGAGTTATATATTGCAGAAGTTACGTTAATTAATTGGAAAACAATTGCTATGTATTTGAAAGGTGTGTTGTAGGAATTTTGTTTAAGAGCATAACATTCTTTACACTTTTTTTAAATTTATTCTATGTGATGGAGCATGAAAGTCATTATTTTATTTCTTTCAGTTACCTTTTTTTTTTTTTTGAATGCTACTAGCTCTATTACATTGTAGTATCTGTTCATATACTTTCTTAACACTTTCAGTTACCTTTTTATTATAACTAACAAAATTAATTTTTTATCATTTTTTTGTCATATACTTTTGATGACTGTGTATACTGATATGTTAAATGAGCATACTTCAATTTTTGTTTTAATTATTTATTGAAGTAGGATTTCCAGTTAGGACAATTACATTTATTCATGCTATTATCTGATTAAGCCACTAGCTCTATTACATTGTAGTATCTGTTCATATACGCTCGTTTTCTCGAGCTGTACCCAGAGGAGGCGCGACCTGTGGTTCCTTCGCTAATGCTGGCCTTCTGGGACACGGTCTGCCCCTCTCCTGCTGACTCTGGCTCGTCTGATGAGCTGGCTTTTCTGGATGAGCCGTCCTCTCCAGAGGAGAAGTAAGCTATGCCGGCGGTGGTGTCAGAGTGATGGGCATAGAGGGTGGTGATGGAGCTGGGCAAGGTGCCTCGAAGAAGACCTGCTGGATATCTTTTTTTAAATAAAGTCTTTCTTTGACATGTACCTGCTCGTATCTTTAATAAATGCAAGTTTTTCCTTTCCTTTCTTCCTCCTATTTATTTATGGTTAGATTCCAACCGCTTTTTAGGATATCTTTGAGACTAGTCACGTGATCCTCAGTCGCAATCCTCCCATATCTGAGGAGAATCTCGCTTTTCTAACATGGCCGGGAATTTTTCCTTGCCGGGATGAGATTGATAGAGATAGATTCCTAATTAATCTACATAATACATAATACACATAAAATCTTACCATAATACACATAAACTCTTAACATAATACACATAAACACATAACATAATACACATAAACTCTTAACTAAATACACATAAACTCTTAACTGAATTCACATAAACTCATAATACAATACACATAAACTTTTAACTGAATACACATAATGGAGTTTGGTTAATATAATACACATAAACTCTTAACTGAATACATATAAACTCATAACACAATACACATAATGGAGTTTGGTTAATATAATACACATAAACTCTTAACTGAATACACATAAACTCATAACATAATACTCATAAAATTTTAACTAAATACACATTGACGGGGTACGGACCCAGGGGCCCAAGGCCAATTTATGGCCTATTGAATGTAAAGCTTTAAGGACCCAAGGGACGACCCACTATAAAAGGGGCTCCTTGGGAATGTAAAAAGGGAGGATAACCCAAGAATACAAAAAGAACACTTTTGGCATTTCTTTTCTAGCAATTCGCTTAACAATTCTTGTGAAAGGTGAATCCACCAACCACGGTTGTGTTGGACCTCTCTGGGCCCAAAAACCCTAAAACCAACACTGGCGCCGTTTGTGGAGATCGTGACAAAAAAGGTCGCGTTCACTTCTTAGTCTGAATAACTTCGGAAAGCAACCGCGAGGAAAGTAGCGTCGGACGACAAAGTACATGGCCGAAGATCAAAGCCACACGGGAAGAAACTCTCGAGATCCCCAGAATCGAACCGAAGGAGCAATTCGGCACCTCGAGATCCATCGCCGCCCCTGATGTCGCTCACTCCCGCTCAGATTGAGGCTGTGGCGCGGGTAGTCGCGGCGCATATCCAAGGACCCGCGGCGGCGACGCAAACTCACGAGCTCCGAGAGCCTCAAGTGTCAAGGTCGTCGCATCCTCGATCACAAGATCGGAACCTCCCCCGCGACCAGGGAGAGGAGCGAGGAGATCAAAGGCGAGATAGCCGATCGGATAGATCGATACACTCGCGGCTAGGGCCCAGCACCGCTCGGTGCTCCGTACACGAGCCGTTGGGCGGGAAAACATCCCGCCGTGTACGACATGAACGGCGAGGCCAAGCAAGCACCCGCGAAAGGATTAATCATACGCAAAGAACTAGGATCCGGAGCGACCGACTTGCCAG